CTAAGGTGAATGATGAGCTTCATTGCCGAGTGAATGAACTAAGGTGAAGGATGTGCTTCATTGCCGCTTATCAGTGTTTGAGAGAAACTGATTTGATTCAGAGTAAATTGTTCGAGAGAAAATTTACGCCCACTAAAGTCTAGCCTAGTTACTAATTTGCAGCGAGTTACTATCAATAGCATTTACCTGGCTGTGTATTTTAGCGCATATTCCTATCACATCCCAAGAATCCCGTCTCCATATTTGCACTTTCGCTTTAATTGTCATTTTAGTTGATAATTGATTACAAAACCCCCTTCGATAATTGACACTTGTGTCACCCTTTTTAATTTATCATGTTTTTACTCGTTAATGTCTATAGCTATGATTAACTTGATCACATTTTAGCTTTTCTATTGATTCTCAATTACAAACCGCTCCCTGTGGGAACGATCCTAACCCTTGGTTGGGTTATATTACTATTGAACGACCGTGGACACTTAGTATTGGATGAATCACCCAGATACGTCAAGTCAAAATGGCACCGCTGCCGGGGAGTGGTGCTAATTGAGAATTTTTAGTTAAGTTGGATTTTGTTCTTGTTAGTTATAGCTCTACTTACTTCATTTTTTGTTTTGTTTTACTTGTTTGTGTGTTGAAACAAGGAAAATGAGTGTAAAGGGTGAAAACGTTAACCAAATAGATCACCCCTTGTTGAGGTTGTTGAACTTTAGGGATAACCTCCTAACATTCCAGCAATTGGAAAGTGAGACTATCCATGATATGTGGTCGAGATTTAAGGCAGTGCTACAACGGGATAACCTCCTAACATTCCAGACAAATTACTGCTAGAATGCTTCTATAGCGGCCTTGTCCCGAAAATAGAAGCGCTGCTGATCAACTTTTTGCAGGTTGTTTGATACGACAACCATATGGATTAGTAGCCCAACTCCTTGATGGCATGGTTAAAACCAACAAGGAAGCAGAAAAGGACGAACAATGGGCTGCATTGTTGGTTCAGTTGGATGATCTGTCCAAGAAGGTAATGAAGTTGGAAGCAAGGTTTAAAAAGAAGAGCAAGTACCTTCCCCCTCGCAAGTGTAAAAAGATGAAGCATCATAAGGGTGGACAAAATGGAGAGGTCCTCTCACTCATTCTACATAAAATCGAGGAACAAGATAGAGTGTTGAATGAGATAAAAGAGAATGTCGAAATGCTGAATCAAATGACGACCTCCCATTCCATGATCATTCAGCTACAAGACGCCCAAATAGGCCAAGTGCTGTCATGTCTCTAATCACAGCATAAAGAGGGGTTACCTAGTGATACTATGGCTAACCCCGAGAATGAGGTTTGAATGGTGACTTGTGTCATGCCATGACGTTAACTAAGGTGCTGTTTGGGAGGCAACCCAAAACCCTTTATTGCTTTATTTTTGTTTTAGAAATAATGGTGCATTGATTGTGCAGGTTAAAATGTGGAGAGTGTTTGAAAATTGCAGGTTGGCGAGCCAAAAAGTCCGCGTCGCGGAAATGCTTAAGATTTTTAGTCTTCAGATATTCTGTAATGACCCTCCAGGTCATTTTTAAATTAAAGCATTCATTCCATCGTTTAGAGCGTTCCTGTAGCGACCCCAAGTCATTTATGACTTGCTGGCACTGACTGTTCGGTCGCCTAGTCGTTCGTTTGGGTTTTAAACCCGTTTCCCTGTTTTGGAGATTTTTTTAACTTGAAAAGTTGACTTTGGTCATAAATTCAGGTAAAAGACCTCAGAATAAAATTCTGACGATTCCATCAGCTCCGGAATGGCCAAATTTGGCTAGTAAAATGCACAACATGAGTATCGAGGCAATCGATACGAGTTTAGGGCCATTTGACGTTTTTGCCCCTGCAATTTGGCCTATAGTTGACTTTGGTCAACCTTCTTGGAAGACGTTCTCAAATGAAAATTCTGACAGCTAGGTTAGCTTAGGAATATCGATTTTGGTCTAGAACGACCCTTTGTTCAATTTCCGAGGCTTTAGATGCCCGTTGTGGAATCTAGCTCAAAACAATACTTGGTGTGGGATCCACTTTTTATCGAAGCGATTCCCAATGGAAATTATGACTTCACTGTTGAGTCCGAAACATCATTTCCAATCAGATTCCATATATGGTTTGTGTTGTTCCGACTCCGAACGAGTCCGGAACATCGAAATTTAAGTTTGAAGAGTTGTTGAATTCCAACGCGGTGGTGACGTTGCAGAGCCACGCGATGCCACGTGGCAGCGTGTTGAAATCTAGAAATTTCCAGATTTAAGGACAATTATCGTCCATTTTTTTTCCTCATCTTCAAACATAGATATCTCCTCCATTTTAAGCTCAAATTAGGTGATTCAAAAGGCTAATTTCAAGAGAATTTCATGGAGAATCTAGAGGTGAGCTCAGAAACGTGAGGAGAGACTATGTTTGAGGTAAGAAATCGAATTTAGCTACTTCTAGAGTGATTTTCGGAATGAATTTTTGATGAACTTTGAAAGGTTATATCTTGATCATCTTAGGTCCGTTTTGAGTCATTCTTGAGGCTAACTTGTAGATTTTTTCACAAGGATCGTCGTGGTATAATCTGTTTTGGTTGGAAGGGTCTCGTTTTTCCAGAAATTGGTGATCAAGGGGCTGCCAAGTCGTAAGTCAAGACTTATTAATGATTTTAATTGTTGGGACTGATTTGCTATGTTTTAGGCATCTTTTTGTGCTAAATTTTGGGGTATTAGTTTAGTAAATTATTTGGGACGTTTTCACGGATTCGTTTACGGGATTCCAATTGTGGGTCCCACAATCCCGTTTTAGACCCAATTTTGGGTCCGTCTCCGAAAAATATAATTTTAGTGTCAACATATTCGTAATGACGAGGTGATTAACCTTTTGATAGTGGGGAAGCATTTGGAGACCGTTCGGAGGGGAAAAGCTCCGGTACCGTGAGTTGGAGCACGCGTGATCAGTTTTCAGGTAGGCTATGGTTTTCCCCTCGTGAGATTGAGCATGTTTAGGCAATTTTTTATTGATTTGCTTGAGTATGGAGTGGTTCGGGTGTCGAGCATGCTAAATTTATATAATTCCTGCCTTAGACCTTATTTCGGGAAATTGTTGGATCATGACAGCACGACTCTTGATATTATTGAACATCCATACCTTGTGGTGTATATGATAATATTGATTTGAAGTAGGTTTGGCCTTAGTCTCGTCTTAGACTAGTGTTGCCATAGACTTGCGAGGCTTCAGATGTCGTTGAGCAGTAGAACTTTTTCCAACGTCACTTCGGACGGTCAGCTCCTTGTAGACTGATATAGAAGACTTGAGTCTGATGTTCTGAGCCTTAGCTAGGCGGTAACTCAGCTTACCTGTGATATGATTTTGGCTACAGTACCCGGTTAGAGTCCGTGGTCCAGCTTACCTGTGATCTAATTTTGGCTACAGTACTCGGTTAGAGTACGTGGTCCAGCTTACCTGTGATCTAATTTTTGCTGCAGTGCCCGGTTAGAGTCTGTGGTCCAGCTTACCTGTGATCTAATTTTGGCTACAATACCCGGTTAGAGTCTGTCGTCCAGCTTGCCTGTGATCTGATTTTGGCTATAGTACCCGGTTAGAGTCCGTGGTCCAGCCCACCCGTGTCTAACCTTTGTCTACAGCACCCGGTTCGAGTCTGTGGTCCAGCCCATATAGGTTGACTCATTAGCTATAGTACCCGGTTCGAGTCCGTGGTCCAGCTTGCACGTGGTGCATTCCCAATTCCTTACTGAAGCTTCAGTTTAGTCCTGATTACTGTCATCTGTAGGTTGAGGTTTTGGAGGTTTGAGATGTTCCGATTAAAGTTCGGGACGCAATGAGATCTTGGAATATAATTAGGAATAGTTCAGTTAACATCCGAAAATTGGTAATATTGTGATAGACCTTCTAGCTGCATTATTTTACTTCAACTGCCGGTACATCTGCCGGTGCATCTGCCGGGCTTATGGGGGTCCGTGCAGGTGGTTTCTTTTATTGTGCACGAGCGTACCCGTCGGGTTTATGGGAGCCCGGCGGAGTTAGTTAGATTCCTTGTCTTTGTTTCCTGTACGCTCGTGTACATACCCACATTTACTACTCTTTTACCCTTAATTGTGACCCTTTATTTGCATTTCAGTTCACTTTTGCTTATCTTGCTCCGTCGGCCTGAGACCTACTGGGTACCTATTGTTTTGTTACTTATACTATACTCTGCATCTATTTTCGTGATGCAGGTCCGAGTACTAGCTACCGACGTTGATTCGAGTCAGCTGCGGTCGTAATCGAAGGCAAGGGTGAGCACACAACGTCCGTGATTTGCCCGTCTCCTTCTGTACTTACTTTTGCTTGTCTTTTGCTTTTTTAGACAACTTGTTTCTGTGGTTCACTTTTAGGACTTGTACTTTTGTTAGCAGATCTGTACTTGTGACTTCCAGGTTTTGGGAGAAATTCATTTTGTGTAGATATGTCTAGTCGCTTCCACCCATTCATTGCATGTTCTTGTTATATTTATTACTATTTTAGGTTGATTGATTGGTTTTCTACCCTAACATCCCATTACTTCGAGTTTCGGGATATGGGTCGGCTTGCCTACTGGTGGGTCATATAGTAGGCGCCATCAGGACCTGAGAAATTGGGTCTTGACAAATTGGTATCAGAGCCCCAGGTTCGTCGGTCTCACTTGTACAGAGCTAACGTCAAGTAGAGTCTTGCAGATCGGTACGGAGACGTCCGTTACTTATCTTCGGGAGGCTACAGGATGTCTTTAGGAATGTGTCGCTTTTGTATCACTGTCGTGCACTGTGTGTCTTATCGGTTTCTAAAAATCTTACTTGTTCCACTCTTTTACGGGGATGGCTCGCACGCGTGTTAGGTCCCAAGTTAGGGGTAGAGGCCGACCTCGAGGTCGTGCTAGAGCTATAGCACCAGCCCAGGACCGAGAGCAAACTCCGGAGCCGGTGATAGAGCCACCAGCAGCTCCAGCACAACAGTAATCGATGGGCCCAGGACTAGCCCAGCCACCGCCCGAGCCTGTGGCAGCTCCAGGTATACAGGCGATGCTCGTACAGATAATAGCTGCCATTGGGGGTATGCAGCAGGCCCCAGCTCCAGCCGCTCCAGTACCGCAGGGCCAACCTGCACCAGCGGCACCGATTGTTCAGCCTGACGAGTTGGAGGGCATCGTGCCACTTCGGGAGCAGAAGATGCTCGGGGTGTTCCTTAGACTATCACCGCCGAGGTTTTCTGGGGCTGTGGGTGAGGATGCCCACGAGTTTCTACTTACTTACCACGAGCGGCTACAGACTTTGGGTGTAGTGGAGTCGAGAGGAGCAGACTTCATCGCTTACCAGCTAGACGGTCCCACCAGGCATTGGTGGTATACATGCTTAGAGACCAGGCCAGCTTGGTTTCCACCGGTCACATGGACTGAGTTTTCAAAGGCCTTCTTGGCCCGATTTATTCCCAGGAGCATTAGAGATCAGCTAAGAGATCAGTTTGCTCGGTTAGAGCAGGGCTCCATGACAGTATCAGAGTATGAGGCCCGATTCCATGAGCTCTCCAGGAATGCCGCCATGATATTACCTACTAAGGAGGAGACAGTTCGTTGTTTTGTTCGGGGTTTGAGACTGCAGTTGCGGATTGAGACTCAGTCTTTAGTCTCAGCGGGCCGCTCATTTCTGGATGTAGTGGACAATGTCCGCACTATTGAGCAGCTCTGTCACGAGGCCAAAGGGGGCAGCGACAAGAGAGCTAGACAGGAGGATAGTACCCCTTTCAAGCCTCTCTCCAAGCATCGGAGGGTGATCAGCACCGCCATATTGGTTTTAGTGCCGGTCCTAATCGGGGCCGAGATAGTTCACAGATGGGTTCTTCTGGCTGGGGTAGCCGACCTCCAGCTCTCAGTCGACAGTCCCAGGGGTGCTATGAGTGTGGGGTGTTAGATCATTGGGCCCGCGAGTGTCCCCATCGCAGGTTAGCCTTACCCGCTCCACAGGCAGCTAGGCATGCGCCGCCATCACCTCCAGCTAGAGGCGGAGGCCAGGGACAAGACCGCAGGGGTGGTCACCTGGGTATACGGGGTGGTCCCCGAGGAGGCAGGTTAGGGGGC